TATTCTTAAAACTAAAAAAGAAACCCCCAAACCTTTTAGTCACATCTCTCATTCCTCTCAACCATTTCTCTTTCATCTCTCTCACTCCAACATTTTCTCTGTCATTCTACTGTGACTTAATTTAATAATAATAAGAAGGGAAAATATATAACACAGTCCTCTAATAAAAAAATCAACACCAACACCATCAATTATTTTGTTATTAAAGTGGAAAACAAATGAACGAACAGAGCAAGAACAACAAATTGCGGTGTCACAGGTTGTTGTGTGTGGGTGAGAGAGAGTATGGAGATGAGAGAGAAACAAATTAGATAAGCGAGGAAGGTGAATTAGGTTAGGCAAGTGTTTGTGCATATTCACCTTCAAGCAAAGGTTCATTCAAGATCTCTTCAATTTCATCATCTTCACTAACCTCTCTAATTTCATCATCTACAAATGTTGAATCATCATCTCTAAAAAAATTCTTCAGGTCAATTACAATTCCTTCATATGTCATTATACTTGTGAAAATTAAATAAAATTAAATAAGACAAAATTATAAAATGAAAATTCATTATATAATCATTTTTTGTAAGAAATTGTTTAACAAAGAGTGTTTCTCATTTTTCCAAGCCAATTACCAATTTCTTTGATGTCATTATCCTTGTGAAAATTAGATAAAATTAGATAAGATAAAACTTATAAAATGAAAACTCATTATAAAATCCTTTTTTGTAAGAAATTTTTTAACAACGAGTATTTCTGATTTTTTCCAAGCCAATTACCAATTCCTTCATATGTTATTATGTTATTATGCTTGTGAAAATTAGATAAAATTAGATAAGACAAAAATTATAAAATGAAAACTCATTATAAAATCATTTTTTGTAAGAAATTGTTTAACAATTAGTGTTTCTGATTTTTTTCATTGAGACTATCATAGGATGACAGAAAAAATGTTGGAATGAGAGAAATGAAAGAAAAAGGATAAGACAAAAACTATAAAATGAAAACTCATTATAAAATTATTTTTTGTAAGAAATTGTTTAACCGTTAGTGTTTCTGATTTTTTTCATTGGGACTATCATAGGATGACATAAAAAATGTTGGAATGAGAGAAATGAGAGAAATGAAAGAAAAAGGGTTGAGAGGAATAAGGGAGGTGACGAGGGAGGTGAGCAAGGGTTTGAGAATGCAAATTATTTAAATACCCTTGACTTTAAAACTTAGAATCCATAATATATAAGGGTATTTTGTCTACTAAAATCCGGTACACATTTCTAAAATGTACCAACTGAAACGACGTATACGCGTTAGCAAACATATATATATATATATATATATATANAATGGCTGGTGATGGGCAGAAGGGAGACCTTCCGAGAAGTGGTAGCTAGGTGAACCCATCAGCTTGCTACTTTGGTGGGTAGAATCTGGCAGGGGAATCGGTGACACCGCAGAAGCTGTGACTTTGCCATAGTTCAATGGATTTCCAACAACAGGTTTGAGAGACATAGAAGGGGGTGGTTGATATTTAGGAGAGAGGTATGTCCTGGGGTTATTGTGCCGATCGCTTCTGGAAGTTCTCACAGGCTTGCAACCCAGGTTAAGTGCAGCTGTTTCAACACAGATAAACAACCCAAAAATCCAAAAACGGTTCAAAATCACTAATTTTGACTCTACACAATGACATGTCTAAAATTTAAAACACTCAAAAGTGCAGAATCCACAGTAGATAAAAAATCGAAGTACCTTCAACACATGGGGGCAGGAGGTCTCCGGTCTCGGATGTCTCGTCTCTCCGTATGATTGTGTTAATGGCATCATTGAGGCGGTCCCAGAGAGTATCAGGATTCAAGTACTCTGCCTAAAGCAACAAAATCACAACAGATTAAAAAAAGGGTTTTACCCAACACAGTGAAGATCTAAGAATCCACATTCCGCGAGCATAAGAGAAACAAGAAAAACCTCGGAATTGGCTTTGGAGTACATGATTTCTTCGGCCCTGAGAACAACCGCCGGGAGCTTCTCCTGGCATTCCTTGTTTTTCATGGTCGCGGGACTGTGAGCGTCAACCACGACCCTAATCAAACAGATGGCGTGCAAAAGAGTAAGAGGAATGCATAGTAGCGAGAAAAGGGGCGAGAAAAAGAAAAAAAGGGGGAAAAGGAAAATAACCCGAAACCTGAAAATCTGTTGAATGATGGAACCTCTCACTGGTTGGTGGCGGTCGCTGTGCCATGCCCTCCTCACGCACTCGTAAGGCCTTGGCCCTGGGCGTGGCATCTCAGAAATGGAAGTGTTGAACCGGACCAAACCACTCAACACGCCCTTTGTTTCTTTTTCTCCCTTTCTCTCACTCTCACTCACACTCTCACACACCAATAACACTGACACACAACACACGAGAACAATATGGGAAGTGGAAATGGACAGAAATAATTGAGAGGCGTGTCTGTCTGGAGGGGGAGTTTACATACTCCTATATACACAGTGACAGTGCTCACTTACGCTACAAATACAATTACATTACATGGGGTTATGTTTGTTGTTTGTTGGTCGATGGGTCAATTACTTCTCACTTGTCTCGCTGTTGATGCCATTGCACAAATTGTAATGGGACGGTTTTGTTTGGGGGTGAGAGTAGAGCAAGAAGGGCACCCCTTGTTTCTCATTCTTTTGTCTTCCCCAATAATTTAGAGGCTATACCATTAACACGGTCACTCTTTTATTTGATGATGTATGTTTGTGTTCAATCTTTTCTTTTGTGTAATAGGGGGTGGGGGTGGGGTCTGGTCACACACCTCTTGGGAAAAGGAGAGTGGGAGAGTTAGGTTACTATCAAAAAGTACCTCCATAATAAAGTCCATTAAAAATTCTCCCCTTCCCAATGCTATTCCCTCACCCACATTTAATATTTGGGTTGGTTGTTACATTCCATGCATCATATCATATCATATCTTTCCCCCCTCTATTTCACATTATTGCACATCCATCCATCCCCTATTCCACACAACAACACAACACAACCCTTCAATTCAACCGCACCATCACTGCAAGGAAAATGACAAAACATAACCAATACCAACTTCGATACAAAGTAAGAGTAGTAGTAATCCAAGAGAATCCAATAACATCAGTTCCGCCCTTATTCTTCCTAAATAAAGTCACTAAGATTCTTTCGTCTCTTTTAATTCTAAAAACAAACCCCTTTCCTTGTTTTACCTTGGGTTAATCTTTGTTTGACAGTCGTGCTTTTATTCCGGGGACAAACATCGTTATTTCGGTTGGGGTAAGCTCGTGTGTGCCACCAACAACGTGCACATGGTGCTCTTTCAATTGTTGTTGGTAGGTCAGGCTTGAAGAAATTAATTTGTATTGACTACGTTACGTGAGTGACCTTGGACCGTGTCGTGTCTATCCAGTACAGTAAATAAATAAATAAATAAATGTATAAATAAATGTGTTGTTGCATTTGCATTGAATGTGCAGTGAAGACATTGATGGGTAAAGAGGTACATTCTGCAGCCTGGGCGCTGTAAATAATTCCCTTTATGTGATGAAAACAGCCTTTGGCATAAGACTGACGCCGCATGGGCCTTCCCCACTCTCTCATGTCACGTCCACTCTTGACAACGGCTGCACAAAGCCAAACTCCTTTTTCAGTTTTTATGTAAACCTCGAGCATCCCACTTCCAACTTCAATCTTTTTTATTTTCTTTCGGTACAGTACTTCTCAAAACCCTCTTCTTCATCTTCAACAACTCCACAAACTTCAAACATCAAATAAATCAACACGGGACACATTTTTCCTCCCTCTGTGATTGTTCCAGTAGGACCACCACCCATGTAGTTTCATTTCACCATAGGATCCGATCCACCCAAGTACTGTTATATTTTGGAAATGAGTAAATAAATAATTCTGATGATGGGTAGGAATTGAAAGGGATACGTGCCTAGTCTGTGGCAGGAAATGAGTTTCCACACGCTCAAAGACAGAGAGACGCAATGGGAGGGAAGGGAAAGGAAAGAGTTGAGAAAACGAGAGTATTTATTGATTTTGTTAATTTCTGTGGGGTGATTGATTTACTTGGGCAGGATGAGAGCAGATGTAACAGATGCATCATGCATGTCATATCAGTGATGGTGTGGGTAGTAGTAGTAGGGATTGTACCAACTTTGTTGCCTTTCAATTCATTTTTATGCATTTATGGCGGGGGTATAAGCAAAATAGTACCATGGCTAAAGACAAATTGTGCCCAGGAAAGCTACTTCCCAAACCTCAAGATTCTCCACCCAAACCTCCTTTTCCTTTCCCCTCAATCCCACTCCATTTTTCATTTCCATTCAACTTTTACAACACCTTCTTATCAGTTCAATAATCATCTCATATATTCTATTCTCTCCAAATTAACCCTCTTAATAATCTTCTCTACATTTCCAATTCAATTTTTCATTTACGAATATACCCATCTTTAATCTTCTCCACTTCCTTTTACTCTCACCACGCATTTCTCACAATATTGTTTTTTACCTAAATACTGATGTGATGTGATGATTTTTAAGTGAGAAACCTAAGAAACGTTTTCTTGATGTTTGTAATTTTCTGTGACTTTCAATAATTTCGTCCATGTCTTATTCTTCAAGTATTCCCTTTTATTTGTCAATTGATTAAGCATCACTAGCTTCGTTCTTCTTCTCAGTCCCACTATTAAGGCTTTTCTTTTTCTTGTGTCCCACTCTCACTGCTTTCCTTTTCATTAGCTCTTCCCACATTTCCTTCAAACCATACCACAAAATCCTTCCAGTTATCTTCTTCACCTCAACTCAAATAGATATCAGTAACTCTGTAATTTGAGCTACCATATTCTTCTGGACTCACTTCAAGTCCACTGAGGCCGAATCAGACCAAGCCCAATGCAAATCTACTTTTCTCTCTTTTCCATTTTTAAAAAATCTCATGTTAATTACAGATGGAAGATATGCACTGATAAAAATATATGGCAACTCTAATGATAGAGTTGACTTGAGTTCAGTACATATAATCTCAACTCAAACATGGCCATTTATGTAAGAATTACCAACTTTAATATCATATAAAATATGAAACTCTCTCCAGTAAGATAGTTTATCTTTGAAATGAATTGGAAAGTTTATCTCTCGAGGAATGAAAACATAGTTCTTGTCGCCAAACAATTTGAAATAAATTTATCTCTTTTCTTTGCCTTGCACAATTTACCATCTCAACCCTCTCAATTCAAATTTTATCCAAATGACATATGTAACATGGAATTCAATTGACTTATTAACATTAACTGTAAAATAGTACACATGGGTAACTAAATTTAAGAACTTTATCAGTACAGTCGAAATATACATTACAATAGTTGTAAATGAAGAGAAGTAATAATATCAATAAAAACATGACATCTTCTTATTGATTTTCGTCTATATTTAGTTATCTGTTTTACTTTCTGAGACATTCAGTTTGACTTCAATTTTATTCTCTTGAAGTAAGCTATAACCTCTCCTTATGAAAATATTCTTCATGCTCAAAAATGGTTGACGTTAATCTACTAATAATCAATTATACCCAAAACAAGAACCACATAATCCATTCCATATCTTCTTTACCAGGTACTCTTCTGTCTGAATGGTGTTGATGGTCAATATAATGACTTATCTTTTTCGTATGAACGCTCCTTCAAAGATTGAAAGCCACTTTCCTAGCATTAGTTATACAATCTTGCTCTTGTAGTCTCATTTGCAACTACAAAAAATAAAATAAAAATCATCCAAGTATAAAAGAATCAAATGTCTAGACTTTATTTTATATGCAGTGATTCACGTGTTCTACTCTGCACTGCTTCTACAGCATTTACCATAAGCAGTGAGTGGATGAACATTCTACCTTTCAGAATCATTATTTATTCACATGGTTCTTTGCATCAAGCTCCACCTCAAGTGGATTATTCTACATAGCACAGTAGCCCATCTGCAACACATCATGACTCATCACTATATCCCTATAACTACCTATCTCCTTTATACGTCTTCACCCTTTTTCCAATCAATCATTTTCCTTCCACTCAAACATTCTATCAAGACATGCTTATAATTATTGAATCGCAAGTTATATACACACATTATATAAGTGTGCATAATATCTCATCAACTAAATCATAGCATCAAAATACTACGGATAATCTAAATGTTCACAGATATATATATATATCTTTTCTGGTAGAAATATCCGAGCTGCTATTTTTTACATCTGGCAGAATAGTCCATGTTTTTTGTCCAAACTTCGTTGTGAAATCAGAGATAATTTTTTCATTAGTGTTGATGAATGTTTGTAGCAATTTTCAAGTATATTGAAGCTGCCCTATTCACTGTATCATTTCAGTGTAATTTTGGTTCGACTGAAGTGACATTGCCGATACAATAATGAAATGGCAGAGCACATGGTACAGGTAAAGCATAAATCTTAAACCCCACATTTGGTCAGTACCATCACCAAAACGGAAAACACAAACAGCGTTACTGAAAGAACGGATAAGATTATTGTTAACAAATACGGGTTGTTTGACTAAATTTTACTGACTGAATAAGCTTATTTGACTAGTATAACCATGTTTAGTGAAGAAAAGTACTGTCAGTGTTTTCGAAATATTATTTTTTAACATTTTATATTTAATTTATTACTTATTTTTATAAATAAGTAAATAATATAAATAATATTTTCTAAATTAATTTATGTAAAATTTAGTTAAAATTATATTTTAAATAACTTTATATTTTCCATATATATATATATATATATATATAATTAGATTTTGAAGGGTTACTAATTATAATTTCTCATAATGAGAGTTTATTTTAAGCATCATGTTACCAAACATTGTGATATTAAATTGGGAGACTATAATATTATAATAATATGGGTTAAATATATTTAGACTTAATGTAAAATTAGAATTTTATTTTAATGTTAATAAAAAATGTGTTTAATATGATTTTTTAATATAATTAAATAAAAATGATTATATTAATTTATATTTAAGATTTAAGAATTAAAATATATAAAATTTAAAATAAAAATGAATTTATTTTCGCGTCAAAGCTCCAAAAATATATTTAACTTTAATAATAAATAAATATATACACAATATAAATGAATATAAACATAAAAAATGAACAAAAACTATGTACGTCTTGCATTACTTAATAATTATATTTTGAAAGTTATCAGATTAAAAAACTTACATAAATCACATTTAAAAAGTTATATATTAATCTAACGTCTTTTAAACACTTCATTTTAAAAAAATTAAAGTAATACACTTTTTAAAATTCATTACTAATAGGAATGAATTAATTATTGTTTATATTGCCAAAAAATTTGTTGCGACCAACTAATGCTATGTACAATTGGAATAAATCATATAGACGTTGCAGTTGCGAAACATATTCGAATGAAAAACTTTGTCGTACATATTTGGTTCTGTCTAGATCGAACGAGAATGTTTTGAATGAAAAAATATCTACTTGTGTGGGGACGACATTTCAAATAATATAAAAATAGAATTATTATTATGAATTATTATATTACAATTTGTAACTTTTGGGTAGTCCAACAAGTCCTTAGAAATAAAGTTGATGCATATCCAGGAAGAGTGAGACTCCGAGATCAAATTAACTTGGCTCAGATCTACAAGAAGGTTGAACTCTTACCTCACCAATT